GAAGTGTCCAGGAGGGGATGAGCTTTGCTAAAGGTTGTGGTGGAATCCTCATCCCTGGAGGTGTCCAGGGAAGGGCTGGAGGTGGCACCCAGAGCTCTGGGCTGGGGACAAGGAGGGACTGGGCACAGGAGAGCTCCTCCAGCCTCAGGGTCCCCAGGGTTCCATCGTGCTCTTACTTCAGTGGCTCAAGTGTGGTTGGCTTTTGATCCTCTTCAGAGCATCACACTGGGATAAAGGCAGGGCTGGAGGAATGCAGAACTTGTGCAAAACTTGACATTTGGCTTTCTTTGAAGAAAATTTTGGAAGGGTAGTCTCCAAAGGAGTCTTGGCTGTTTCCTGGGATGATTTTATGGAATATATTGGTGCTGTAGAATCCCAGGATGGGTTGCGTGGAAGGGACCCTAAATCCCAGCAGTGCCACCCCTGCCATGGCAGGGACATTCCCACTGTCCCAGCTGGATCCAACCTGGCCTGGGACACTGCCAGGGATCCAGGGGCAGCCCCAGCTGCTCTGGGAATTCCAGCCCAGCCCCTGCCCACCCTCCCAGCCAGGAATTCCTTGCCCAGATCCCAGCCCATTCTCCCCTGTGCCAGTGGGAGCCATTCCCTGTGTGCTGTCCCTGCAGGCCTTGTCCCCAGTCCCTGGCAGTAACTGAACCAGTTTGGGGGCCCTGGGCACGGTCCCTGTCATGTGCCAAGGGCTGATCAGTTTAAATGCCCACGCTGGGCTGGGGAGTTGCTGGTGCTGCTGGCATTTGCAGGTGGCTGCTCCAGAGCTGGGGTGCTGGGATTGCTCCCTGGTTTCAGAGCTTTTGGCTCTTTGGGTGCTGGTTTTTCAGGGCTGCTGCCTTCCTGGGAGGATCAGGATTGGTGGTGATGTTTCCTTTCACATGCAGTTTCTGGGTGTGATGCTGCAGGTGTCTTCTGTGGTGCAGTGGAGAATTCCCGACTAATTACAAATATATTCCTATATCTCTCTTCATCTCCCTTCCACCACCCACCCCCAAGCCAAACCCCTTCCTCTGCCAGCCCCAGGAGCATTGCAGGCACTTCTGGAGTTTAGGGGCATTTGGGTAAGAAATGGTGACAAACTGAGGTGGAAATGGGAATTAACAAACCTGGGTGGAGCTGGAGTGTTTTGTCGTATTCTCTGGCATCCTATGTGTTTTCTCTTTCCTTACACAAGAAAGAAGGGCATGTCCTGCTTACATCTGAGAGGGGCATGCTGCAAACCCTTCTGGGTTCTGACTGATCAGGAATTAGCTCCATAAATATCCTGTGTCTGCAGCCGTGTGCAGGCCCCTCCATGTCCATGGGGCTTTGGCAACGCCAGCACTGCTCAGCTCCGATCCTGCAGCAGGCAGTGATGACCTGGTGCTGATACAGACATTTATTCCAGCTCTGATTTCACCTGCTCGTTCAGCTGGAGAGCCCTTGGCTTGTGGCTGTTCTCTGTGTTTGTCTCTCACCACGTGTGGGCAGAGAGAAACGGGATTTTGGAGCATCCCATAAACAGTGTGCATGGTGGGGGCTCAGAGGAGTGGGATTTTGGAGCATCCCATAAACAGTGTGCATGGTGGGGGCTCAGAGGAGTGGGATTTTGGAGCATCCCATAAACAGTGTGCATCCTGGGGCTCAGAGGGAGTGGGATTTTGGAAGTGTGCATCCTGGGGGCTCAGAGGAGTGGGATTTTGGAGCATCCCATAAGCAGTGTGCATGGTGGGGGCTCAGAGAAACGGGATTTTGGAGCATCCCATAAACGATTTGTGGGTCCCACTACAATGCATCTTTGACAGTTCTATTTCTCCAAAGTGTCCAGTCTTGTTTGCAAAGCCATCCTTTAAAACCTGTTTCCAGCTCCATTTCTCTCAGTGTCTGTCCTATTCCCTGGCATTTCTAAGTCAGCATTTCTTGACTCACAGTTTGCACACTGGGGGAGCCTTCTCTCAGGCTTTGAGAATTCTCCACAAATCCATTTCCCACATTTCCCCCTCTCTCTTGAATGGAAAAAAAATCCATTTCCCACACCTGGTGGGAAGAAGGTGTTCCAGCTGCTTTTCCAGGCAGGAATCCCATTCCACTCCAATTCCTGCCCTCAAAGTATGGAGATATTTCTACATTATAATAGAGAAATCATCCTGGGCTTGTTTGAAGATACTTGCATAAGATGCCTTTTAAAATATAGTTTAAATAATTAATATAAGTAAAATCTGGTCTTAATGAAATAATAAATAAACATGAAAATAAATTTAAAATAAAATAAACATCAATATAAATAAACATTAAAAATAAACATGAAAATAAGCATTAAAAATAAAATTTAAAGATTCTACTGGGAAGCCCAGCAACGCCGGGTTGTGCAGCAGGCAGGGTGAACGCCAGGAGCTGACCGTGGTGCTGAATTCGGGGTTTAGACAAACCCGGTATTTGCGTGGAGGTGGGAATGGCAGGTTTGTGTCCCCAGAGGGGACTGGCTGCTGTGCACGCAGTGGTGCCCAGGTTTTGGGGGCTGAAGGGGGGAAGGAGCTCCAGTGCACTGCGGGTGGGTGTGAGTGCTGCCCGAGCACGGGGGGCTGGAGCCCAGCTCTGCTCTGGGCACGGCCTGGGTGTTTCATGTGTTTCACATATCTGATATCCTGCATTGCCCGTGAGGCAGCTGAGCACGCACTGAAGTACAATAGTCTGTGGTTTTGACTGGCACATGATCCCTTTTAGCCCACTGCCAGCACTTCCCCTGCCCTGCTTGGAGGGAGGAGCTGCAGCAGCAGGACCCAGGAGTGCAGGAGCACTGGGGTGTCCCTGGGGTATTCCTGGGGACCAACCATCCCTGGGATGTCCCTGGGGTATTCCTGGGATCAGCCATCCTTGGGGTGTCCCTGGGGTATTCCTGGGATCAGCCATCCTTGGGGTGTCCCTGGGAGCTCTGGGGTGTCCTTGGAGTATTCCTGGGGTCAGCCATCCCTGGGGTGTCCCTGGGAGCTCTGGGGTGTCCCTGGGGTATTCCTGGTACCAACCATCCCTGGGGTGTCCCTGGGGTATTCCTGGGATCAGCCATCCTTGGGGTGTCCCTGGGTTATTCCTGGGATCAGCCATCCTTGGGGTGTCCCTGGGGTGTCCCTGAGATCAGCCATCCCTGGGGTGTCCCTGAGGTGTCCCTGAGATCAGCCATCCTTGGGGTGTCCCTGGGAGCACTGGGGTGTCCCTGGGATCAGCCATACCTGGGTGTCCCTAGGAACAGCCATCCCTCAGGAGAGTGCTGCTGCCAGGGTGTGTGCTGAGCTGCTCTGGCCTGGGCTGAGGGTTAATTACGTGGTTGCAATTAACAGGAGGTGCTGTATGTGGAGTGCAGGCCTTGCACTGTGGTGCAGTCACAGGGGATGTGCTGCCAAGTGTTGAATTGCTCTGAGAATTCCCTCAGCTCCCAGGTGTCCAAAGGCTGAGCATTATCAGCCTGGTCTGAATGAAAAAAAAATGGATTTCCAGCTGCCTGTGCAAAAGCTGTGGCTGACACAGCAGCCTGGGCTGTGGAAGGAGCTGTAAGGCTCACACAGCAGCCTGGGCTTGGGAAGGAGCTGTAAGGCTCACACAGCAATCCTGGGCTGTGCAAGGAGCTGTAAGGCTCACACAGCAATCCTGGGCTGTGCAAGGAGCTGTAAGGCTCACACAGCAGCCCTGGGCTGTGGAAGGAGCTGTAAGGCTCACACAGCAGCCCTGGGCTGTGGAAGGAGCTGTAAGGCTCACACAGCAGCCCTGGGTAAGGCTCACACAGCAATCCTGGGCTGTGGAAGGAGCTGTAAGGCTCACACAGCAATCCTGGGCTGTGGAAGGAGCTGTAAGGCTCACACAGCAGCCCTGGGTAAGGCTCACACAGCAATCCTGGGCTGTGGAAGGAGCTGTAAGGCTCACACAGCAATCCTGGGCTGTGGAAGGAGCTGTAAGGCTCACACAGCAGCCCTGGGCTGTGGAAGGAGCTGTAAGGCTCACACAGCAATCCTGGGCTGTGGAAGGAGCTGTAAGGCTCACACAGCAGCCCTGGGTAAGGCTCACAGAGCAGCCTGGGCTGTGGAAGGAGCTGTAAGGCTCACACAGCAATCCTGGGCTGTGCAAGGAGCTGTCCCCCTGCTGCTGTCTCCAAAGGCACAGCAGCTCCCAGGGCAGTGCTGGGCTCTCAGCAGCTCTGGGACATCCCCTGCTCCCATCAGTGACCCGTGTCTGTCACACTCCAGGCTGGGGGCTGGTGTAGGAGCCCTTCAGAATCAGTGCTGGCTTCTCTCAGTCTCACAGGGGTGATGATGATGATGATAATGATGATGATGTGTAAGAGCCGTAATGAGGGATGCAGGACTCCAGGTGCTCTTCCAAATGCAGTTTGTCACATCCAGTGATACAGCACTCCAGGTTGTGGGTGACAGAGCCTGTGCCTACAGCTGTCAGCTGCAGGCAGGCCTGGGGACCCTTTAATTTTGGTTACAATGCATTATATACTTTTCTTTGCTGAGCATCTTCATACAGTAGAACCAATCTATACCTTGACTTTTATCTGTAGCCTATCACAACTACTATAATTACCATGTTCATGTCACTGTTCTCCAGTCACTAACAGTTAGTACATTACAGTTTAAGCTAGAAGTTGTTTTTCAGTTTTATGGCAGTGGAAAATTCTGAGACCTTTTTTCTACTTGCAACATCTGCAGGCTTGTTTGCCTGTGCTATTTTTCTGCTTGGTAAAAACATTTTCTTGTTTGGGATGGCTTTATCCTTTGCTCTAAGTGATAAAAACCCCTTCTAACTAACACACCCTTTGTCTCCTTGGTTATCCAGCAAGACTGGCTCAGCAATTCTTTTCTTCTGTATCAAAACTTGCTTCCATCTCTATTCCTTTTTCAGATTCTGCATTCAAAACTCTTTCTGCTAAGCATCCATATCTGTGAGACTTTCTTGTCACACTTTCACCCTTCCTCACGATGATGGTGATGACGGAGCAGTGTTTCCTCCCGCAGGAGCCGTGGTTCTGGCTGGCAGCAGAGCTGGGGAGCAGCTGCTCCTGGGACACCAAGCTGGGCCTGAGCTGTGCCAGGAGGGACCTGTCGGAGCTGCCCACGCTGGAGGAAGGGCTGCTGTCCTCAGCAGAAGCTTCTGGAGCTCCAGCCCCGGCCTCACCCCTGGGTATGTCCAAAGGGATTGCTGCACAATGGATGTTTTACTGCTCAGTCAGTCCCAGCCTGCATTTAGCCTTCCTTCAGTGAGAAGAGAGGTTTACAAAGTGTGTTTGGGGTGGTTTTGTTGTCAAAGCCCCCCTCAAGATGAGGGGCAGGGTTTGTGTGCCTTCCCTGGATCTTCTAACAAGAACAGGTTCCTTTTGTGCCAGGTAAAGCTGTGCTTTGTTCTCCTGTGAATTCAGAGTGAGCCTGAGTGAGCTGCCACCCCTGGCAGTGTCCAGGGCCACTGGAAGGTGTCCCTGGCAGGGGCAGGAGTGGAATATCTCTGAAATAGCTTTAAAATCCCCTCCACCCCAGCCAGTCCGTGGTTCCCATTGCTGCCCTTGGGTTTGGGTGCAGTTCTGTTGTGCTGCTGAGATTTGCAGTGCTGACACTCCACTCCAGCCAAGGCCACTGCTCCTTCCCGTCCCAGCATCAGTCAGAGAAGGCTTGAGAAACTCCAGCTTTTATTATTTCACCTTTGTGCTTCCTTGCTTCCATTCACTTCCAGGTGGAGCCAGAGTAGCCTGGTCAAACACAGCCTGGAAATGCAGTTTCTCAGCCCAGGGGGTTCTTTTTGCATTGATCCCTCTGCAGAGCCAGGAGTCCCTGCCCATGAGGGTATTCCCTTTTTGCTCACCTTTCCAGGGAGTGCCTGCAGTTGGTGAATGAAGGTGCCTGTCACTGCACAGTGGTGTTTCTTCACAAGCACACACAATTCCTGAGAGGCAGAAAACATAACTGTGGTATTTTCTGTTTTATGCTTGCAGTTAAGTGCACGTTGAGCTGTGCAGTTTGCCATTCCCTGTGCCAGCCTGCCTGTGTGCAGCTGCTTTGGGGTTTTCTTTGGAGTTAAACACCACTTGAAGGGCATGGAGTTAAAACTGCCTTGGGAATTTCCTCACAGCAGCTCCTGAGGGGTTTATGAACTTGACTTCTATTTTTTTAATGCGAAGCTTTTGGTCATTCCCATCAGTTTTTGAGATGATTTTGCTCCATGCTTGGTGAAGGAGCCTGCACGAGGAGAAGGAACATCTTGGGTGGATTCTGTTCATCCCAAACCCTCTGAGGCTCAGTCCCTGCCACTGTGGGTGTCACCCTGGTGGCTGTCCCTGGTGTCTCTGTAACACTTACTGCAAAGATTAAACTGCCTTTTGGTAGCTTCTGGTTCTGCCCCTCCTGACAGGTCTGTTTTACACAAACCAGGGAGAGGGGAGAGGGAGCACAGCACAGGCTGGCTTCATTCACTGCACCAGGGAACTGCCGCCTGCAGAGCCTTTGCAGCCACATGGGAGATGTTTTGGAAGGGTTTTTCTCCTTCCTGGAATGAAAGGCACCCTGGGCTGCCTCAGAGCTGGGTCTGCAGGCAGCGTGGTGGTTAAAAGCTGTGTGTGCATCACAGGGACTTGGTGGAGAGTGAATAAATCCCATTTTGTAGGGAAGTGAGGTTCAGAGGAAGTGGGAGGACACGGAGGGTTGGCTGTGCCTTGTCCCTGCCATCCTCTGGGCAGGATTCCTGTGGTTCAGGTGTCTTCCAGCCCTTTCCCCTACTGTTGTTATTTGCAGAACTGGAAGCCATTTAATCAAGGAAAACTTCTTGATATTTGTCCAGCTTTGTGTTTGCAGTGCAGAATTAAGGAGCAGGCAAAGGCTCAGTAGTGTGCTAAAAGCTGTGAGAAGCCTCTCCTGTGCTGTTTGATCTGCTGCTCTCTGGGGATGGGCTGCAGGCTTTGTGTGTGCTCTGAATTCCCAGGTACAGGAGGACAGCTGAGAGGGAAGGAAGCCATAGTGCAATACTCACTTATTTCTTCTCCTCCTCACAAAGTGTCTTGGATTTCATGTCAGGAGGGGAGGAGTGACAATGACAGTTGTACTGAAGTGCTCCTGCTGCTCAGTGGAACAGCTTGACAGAGCTGAGGCTTTGTTTTTGTTTTGCCTTCCTTTTTTATCCCCCCAAATGGCAGCTTGACTGTGGCATTCAGCTTGTCAGCAGGCTGGGAGAACGAGCCACAGGCCCAGCTCTGCCTGCTCGCTGAGCTGCACTGAGGAGGCTTTTGGCCTTTGGAGTGACAGCAGGAACAATCCCAGATTTGACACCAAGCTCAGGGAGAGCAGCACTGACGTCACTGCCTGCTTCCAGCCTGGGCTGCTGCTCCAGGCCTGGCCCTGGCTGAGCACAGCCACCTGAGCCCTCCTGGGCATCCCAAATGTGCCCCAGGAACCCTCCTGAGCATCCCAAATGTGCCCCAGGAACCCTCCTGGGCATCCCAAATGTGCCTGTCCCAGGATCCACCCTGAGCATCCCAAATGTGCCCCAGGATCCACCCTGAGCATCCCAAATGTGCCCCAGGATTCATCCTGAGCATCCCAAATGTGCCCCAGGGTCCTTCCTGAGCACCCCAACTGTGCCCCAGGATTCATCCTGAGCATCCCAACTGTGCCCCAGGATCCACCCTGCACCCTCGAGCCCCTCTGGAGGACTTTGGGGTTTCTGGAGTTCCTGCAGGGCAGGAAGGAGTGGCTCCTGCAGGGCCTCAGTGCTGTGGCAGTTTCCTGCTCGTGGGGAATGTTCAGTCACTTTTTCATCTCTTTGGGTTTCTTCAGACAAATGTCGAGTGCCACTTAGGTGTTTGTTGGTATAATAGAGCCTGAAAGCACTCATTTATCAGCCAAATGTTGTGATTTATTGGCTCTGTGTATGTGTCTGTATATGCACATTTACTTTATTAATCTATGTACACAAAAGATTAGCAACAGCTGCTTTTGACAGCTTTGTTTCCCAATTATTTTCTGCTCCCTCCCTTAGTCCCCTTTGTTTCTTCATTTCCAAAGCACACCCAGATTTTTGTGTGTGGAAAAAGCTTTTCTTTAATCACTCCTCCTTTTCAATTTAGCTTGAAAATACATTTTCATTCAAAGTGGAGAAGTTAAGCTGAAATCAGAAAAGCTTGTCTTCCTCCTCTCTTGCATGACTAAAAATAAGGTGCCAGTTCTGCCACATGAAGTGTGTCATGATGGGAGCTGACAAGTCTGATTTGATAGCTGCAATTAATGTTATTTGTTCACTAATGCCATGTTAAATAGAAAACAAGATTTGGGAGGGGGAAAAGTCCATCTAACAGAGCTGAGAGAGTTCAGATTCCAGCTTGCTTAATGTTTCTTAAAAAACACTGGTTTGCATGCTTAATGCAGTTCTGTATGCAAATTAATCTGCTCAGCATTCCCAAGTGTAACAGTGAAAAATTCCTGGAGTGAACATGTGCTGGGTGGGCCAAATGCACTGGAAATCCTGTGTGCTCCCAGTTAATTGTAGGGAATTGGGAATGTAAATCAGGCTGTCAGTGCCAGCCCTGAGCAAACCCCTCTGTTCTCTGGGTGCATGGGAGGAATGTGGGGGACATCACAGGGAATCAGCTCAGACTGCTGTTCCTGATTTTAAATCAGGATTCAGAGTCATTCAATCCCCTTGCTGCTCCAATCCCTCCCTGCCGCATCCCTCAGTGCCCCAATCCCATCCCTGCCCCAATCCCATCCCTGCCCCAATCCCATCCCTGCCCCAATCCCATCCCTGCCCCAATCCCATCCCTCACTGTCCCAATCCCTGCCCCATCCCTCAGTGCCCCAATCCCTCAGTGCCCCAATCCCTCAGTGCCCCCATCCCTCAGTGCCCCAATCCCATCCCTGCCCCAATCCCTCACTGCCCCATCCCTGCCCCAACCCCAATCCCTCAGTGCCCCAATCCCAATCCCTCCCTGCCCCATCCCTCAGTGCCCCAATCCCTCAGTGCCCCAATCCCTCAGTGTCCCAATCCCAATCCCTCCCTGCCCCAATCCCTCCCTGCCCCAATCCCTCAGTGCCCCAATCCCTCCCTGCCCCAATCCAAATCCCTCCCTGCCCCAATCCAAATCCCTCCCTGCCCCAATCCAAATCCCTCCCTGCCCCAATCCAAATCCCTCCCTGCCCCAATCCAAATCCCTCCCTGCCCCAATCCAAATCCCTCCCTGCCCCAATCCCAATCCCTCAGTGCCCCAATCCCAATCCCTCAGTGCCCCAATCCCTCAGTGCCCCATCCCTCCCTGCCCCATCCCGCTGTTCCCCCAGGGGCTGCCCCTCCAGGCCCCTTTGGGGTGTGCCGTGTGTGGAGCAGGCCCCAGGAGCTGCCGTGTTACAGACGAGTTTTGGGCCCTTCCTTCCGTGGCTCTGCTCCTCTGGGCTGCTCTTTGCTGCTCTCCTTTTTCACACTTGCACGTGTGTCAGAATTCATTTTGCCGTCCAGCTCTGGGCTGAGCCCTCTGGAACTCCTCAGGAACAGCTATTGACACCTATTTCTTTAAGCCACATCTCATTTCCTTTCTCTAAGCTTCCAAAAAAGCATTTTCATCATATTTGGTGTTGCAAATTCAATTATTCTATCTGGGTAATTATCCTCTCACTACCTAGAGTTCGAAAGTAATTAAAAATGTTGATTGGAAGTATTAAATTAAAAACTAATGAGCAAGGTTGCCTTGTGATTGGCTGCCCTGGTCAGGTGATGCAGTGTGGGTGGAGAAGCCTCAGGCTGGAGCTGATGGAATGAAAACTGGATTTTTTTGTGTGTAATGATCATTTTTCTGATGTGATTGTGCTCCTCTAAGTGCTGCAGACTGCGGCTTGTCTGAGTGGTTGGAAACTAATGAGCCTAAATTAAATAAATGGCATTTCTGGGTTAGGAAGTCACTCCCTTGACCACAAATAGCTCTTCCCTTTTAGAAATAAAAGCTTGCTTAGAATACTGGAAGTATTGTTTTGCACCCCTCAGACATGTCTGTAGTTATTTACACTTCTCAGACGCCAGCTTAGGGTTAAAAAAAGGAGAAAACCCCCCCAAACATACAGTTATGTCTAAACCCCACAGATGATTCCATATATATTAGAGTTGTTTTATTCTCGTGGTGTAAACAATTTCCATTTGTTTTTGTAAGTAATGAACTGGAAAAAACCACCAAGTACCCCAAAGAGCAGAGAAATGCAGGATAGAAACTAAAATTGCTGCAGCAGTCATCGCTGTCTGCTAGGTTTGATTATCACTTGAACTTGAATCCCTGAGGAGAGCAATGGCACACGGCCTTTGCTGGAATCAGTTTATGGAAAAACAGAGCAGGGAAGGAGCTGTGGGATGCCTGGGCTGTAAAGTGAAAGGTGGTGGGGTCGGATCCCTGTGGGATCCCAGCCCGGGCTGAGCAGGGTGGGGACGGCACAGAAGGAGGTTTAGGAGGAGTTTGGGATGGCAGTGCCAGGGGGAGTGAGTGCCTGGAGACCTGGGCTTGGTGCGGGCTGAGAAAGCTGAGTTTAGTCCTGGAGGGAGGAGCTCCGGGGTCTGGGGTGGGATCCCCTCCCCTTCCTGCAGCTGGGGTCTCCGGGCTGTGGGGCTGGGGTCTCTGGGGATGTTTGGGGGTGTGGGGCTGCGGTCTCTGGGGATGTTTGGGGGTGTGGGGCTGGGGTCTCTGGGGATGTTTGGGGGTGTGGGGCTGCAGTCTTAGGGAAAGGGGCTGGGATTTCTGGGGGTGTGGGGCTGGGATCTTTGGGGATGTCTTGCTGGAATCATTGGGAATGTGCAGCTGGGATCTTTGGGATTGTGGGGCTGGGGTCTTTGGGTATCTTTGGGGGTGTGAGGCTGGGATCTTTGGGGACCTTTGGGGATGTGCAGCTGGTATCTTTGGTTATCTTTGGGACTGTGAGGCTGGGGTCTTTGGGACTGTGAAGCTGGGATCTTTGGGGATGTGCAGCTGGGATCTTTGGTTATCTTTGGGACTGTGAGGCTGGGGTCTTTGAGGATCTTTGGGACTGTGAGGCTGGGGTCTTAGGGACTGTGAGGCTGGGGTCTTTGAGGATCTTTGGGACTGTGAGGCTTGCTGCCAGCTCTCAGTGCCTGTTGGTGTTTTCTCTCCCAGATGTCCAGGAGAGCAGATTCTCCCCCTGCCTGCCCCTGCTGCTGAGCCCAGGCCTGGCTGAGACGTTCCTGCAGGGATCCCACCTGGATTTCCTTCCCCTGAGGTGGGATGGGCTCCTGGGGCTGGTTCTGCACTGGGTAATGGACAGTGGCAGGTTCTGGGCTCAGAAATGGGGGTTTGGGGGTGTGTGCAGGGAGGCACCGCTGGGTTTTGCCTTCAGGAGAGTTTGAGCAAGGGGAAAGCAGGAGCAGGCTCTTCTGAGCTTGTCATGCTGAGCTACCCAGGGAAAATGAGGAATTCCACCCTCTTCAACATCTCTGGAGCCTTCTTGGACTCTGAAATAAACTTCATGAAATTCTGGGGACAAAGATCAGGTTTCTGTATTTACAGGAGTAAGACATACATGGGCAGTGTTGTGGTGTGTAGATGCTGGAGCCATATGTGTAATTTACAGTACAAGTTTGGGGTTAAAATGCATAAAGAAAGAGCTGTTCCAGTAAAAGGCTTTGTCACCTTCATTCCGAGGTGCTCTGCTTGCATGGAATAATATTTATTATTTTTGATGGTATGTTTAATATAAAGGAACTATTAATTAAGCAATTCCCAATATGGGAATTAGAACTTTATAGGAATTTGTTGCTTGTCTGAGACCTGGCTGCTTTGATATCCTTTAAAAAAAATAATTGATATAATTACCTGAAGTAGGTGATTTATAGGAAAAAATCACAGGCAAGCTGATATATGTGTAAGCACATATTGCATATTTTACTTAGCTAATTTTATTTATTTATGAAACTAATAACAGCCTGTCAGTAAAAAATGTTTTAGTCCTAACAGGTTGAAAAATATTGCCATACTAAGTAAAAATGGATATTATTATAATATTATTTTTGAGCATTTGTTTTGTAGGAGATTTTTGATGTTTCTTTCCATTCCTTCAGGTTTTGCCCCTTTAGGGGATGAATTTATGGCTATTTGTGTGAATATTGCTAACCCCCCATTGTCACCGAAGTTCCTCTGCCTCTGATTTAAACCAGAGGTGTTGGAATAAAAGAAATGATCAGAAATTCCATTTTCTTGCAGAGGAGTCCCGGATGTTTCTGGAGCATCCCTGGAGCATCCAGAGCCTCCCCAGGTCCATGGCAGCACATCCCTGAGGGGCCCAGCCCTTCCCAGTCCATCCCAGCCCGTGGGACAGGCGGATCCTGGAGCTGCTCCCCGCGCTGGGCAGCGCCTGGGCAGCCAGGGGGACAGCGGGGACAGTGACAGTGGCACTGAGCAGGAGGCAGCAGCCCCCCGGGGCAGGGCGGATCCGGCACACCCAGCTCCAGAGGAGGGGCTGGCAAAGGCGCTGGAGCAGCCCTGGAGCACAGCTGGGAGGGACTGTGAGGCTGGGGTCTTTGGGACTGTGAAGCTGGGATCTTTGGGGATGTGCAGCTGGGATCTTTGGTTATCTTTGGGACTGTGAGGCTGGGGTCTTTGGGGATGTGAGGCTGGGATCTTTGAGGATCTTAGGGACTGTGAGGCTGGGGTCTTTGGGACTGTGAGGCTGGGGTCTTTGGTTATCTTTGGGACTGTGAGGCTGGGATCTTTAGGGATGTGCAGCTGGGATCTTTGGTTATCTTTGGGACCGTGAGGCTGGAATCTTTGAGGATTTAGGGACTGTGAGGCTGGGGTCTTTG